TCTTTAACCCCCACCCGCACTCATTTTCACTCTCTTTCAACCGGCTCCCACCCTCTCTCTTTCTCTCATTCCTTTCCCTCTCTCCTCTAACCCCTTTTTCACTTTTGTTGCCCTCATTTTCTTGGCAGGGAGTGAGGCACCTCTCCAGACGTTTTCTTCTCCATGCCCTGAGCCCCCTACTATCCCCCCTCCTCTTCTTCTCTCGCTGCTTTCTCCCCCTCTTCCCCTTCCAGTCTGGAAGCTGAGTGTGACCTAATGTTTGACAGACAAGTAGCCTTGGAGAAAAGACTCATCTATCAGAAGCTTGTAATTCTATTAGAATGGACAGAACATCCCCCCCAGGCAAGCCTTTGGCATATTCTCTCCATCAATGTAGCTGTTTTCTAAACCCTCTGGGCCACAGGCCTACAAAATGCAGTTTACGCTAACAAATAATCACAGCCAGTTAATAAGGTGTGTGTCTCTGTGTGTGTGTTTGTGTGTCTGCATGGCCTAACTTTCTACCAGTTTTTTTTTCAAGGGGGAATTGTTGAGCGCAAAGTTCTTTTGATATTAAGCATCAAAGAACAATTTCTCTTTTTAAATTCTAATCTCTTCCGAGAGGCTAAAACAGGTATAATGCAGGGAACTGTGGCGAGTTAAGATAGGAGGATCAGAACCGGCTTCTAATCAAGATTGTTATCAAGATCCCCAGATGTTTATACGTAGACAAAGACGGCTACACGAAACATCCATTGTCGTGGCTTGTTATCAGACCTAATTACTGATATGAGAGGCGAAGAGAAGAGATGAGGTTTTGCTTACATCTCCTGCTGGGATGTTAAATTGCAGAGGACATGTTTAGCGCAGATTGTTATTTGTCTGTAATCAGTGCAACCCTGTCAGTCATGATGGCTGAGATGGAAAAAGGAGAGGAGGTGGAGTGAAGCAAGAGAAGGGGGAAAGAAAGAGGAGGAAGACGTCTGGACAGCAATCAAGCATACCGCAAACAGGAAATGCAAGTCTGAGGATGCCCCAGCTGTTGTGTTTCGGCCTCGCTGCTCTTACAGTTGAATCAAAGCAGCAGGAATAGCTCACACGACAACTTTTCAAGTGTCGCACTCCGAAAATAGTCCGTTTACATTAACAGACTTTTCCCACTATTATAACAAGCCCGGTGTTTGGAGTATTTCCATGTTGTTTGCGTCAATGCCCTAGTGTTTCCTTTAGTGAACACTTTACAGTGTGTGAGACGGACGGGAAACATGCTGCTAAGTGCTTATGTGTGTGGCTTTGAGAAGACGTGTTGTCTCACTGGTTAATGGCTGCTTGATATTGATTACAGCTGGAACGTCCGACTCACATGTTCCTAGTCCTCTCCAGATAACGAGGGTTAACCACTCGACCCCTTACATGCCAAAGGGGCTCCGTTCATACCTGGATCCATAGCCCCGGCCTAAGCCACATGTCCCATAGCTCCAGAGAGGCCGCAGCCCTCGGGTCTCCGGCTTGGCCCGTAGATCACGGCCGTGTCATGGAGCCACACCAGAGGGAAATGTGCCAGACTTCATTAAGGGCAGATTAAAAGCAATCAGAGGCCACTTTAAGTGTGATTTATTTTCACTGTGAGGTTGCTGGGTCGACTGCAGGAACGCAGCGGCTTTACCCCGGAATGATGATGTCATGGTTTCATTGTTTGCGAAGTGTAAATAGCAGATTGGGAAGGAACTTTGTCCTCGGCAGCAGGGTTCATCTTGGAGTCTAAGAGAGCGGAAGACAAAAGATACACCCTCTTCTGCCTTACTGTCCCCCATTTTAGATCTGAAACAAATCAGAAGACGATGAAGAGAGTATTCAAGCGAAACCATTTTGCTTTTAATCATTCATTCAGAAAAGACAACATGTTCTCTCTTAATGAGAAGATTTCCTGCGTTCCTCTCTTTATATCATTATAAAATGAATATGTCAAGCTATAGAACAGTCCACTTTTTTGATCCAGACTAAAACATTTCAACTATTGGTTGGATTGGCATGGAATTTGGTAAAGATCTTCATGGTTCCCAGAGGATGAATCCAACTGAATTTCTTGATCCCTTGTTTTACATTAGAATCCAATGAGCTTGACTTTTTCTTCCCTTTAATGAAATATCTCAACAAATATTTGATGTATTGGTAAAATGTTGGTATACATAGTCATGGTTCCAAGAGGATGAATTCATCTGACTTTGGTGAACCCCTTGTCTTTCCGATCACGCCCCCATGAGGTTGACATATTTGCTTTTTAGTGACATTTCTGGACAACTATACTGGTTGGGTTGACATGCAATTTGGTATACATAGTCATGGTTCCAAAAGGATGAATTCATCTGAATTTGGGGATTTCCTGTTCTTAAACAAGTTTTCACATACTTTGTGAAACATCTAAACTTTAGTAGGCTGGATTGACACAACATATGGTACAGACATTCATGATCCCCAGAGGATGAATCCGATTGACTTTGGCAACGCCGTGTCTTTCCACAAACTCCCACCGGAAGTTGGCATATCAGTGACATCACTTGATAAGTAATAAATGGATTGTTATGATATTTGCTTGGAATTGTCATGGTTCCTGGCGGACTTTGGTAATGCCTTCACATTTAATTGTTCAATATCCCAAGATCTACTACAACAGGTAGATTGGCCAACACTTTTGCAGACATATTCATATAGAGGATAAATCCTTACAGATTGTGGTGACTTTTGATCTAGTACCACCATTGAAATTGATATTAATATTAAAATGTCAACTTCATTAAATGTTTTAACAACTTTTGGATGGATAGCCATGAACCATGTTACATACATGCATCCCCCCCCTTCCCCTAGGAGGAAGTGTGACAATGAACAATAAAAGTAATCTTAACTTGCTGACTCCAATGGGAGGGTCTGAAGAGCATCTGTGTATGAGCTTCAGTGATATGAAAGTACATTCACGCTATTTATAGAAGCACTAATCACGAACACCTATACACATGATGACCTCATTCCTTGGAAATGCCACTATTTTATAGGTGACTGTAAGAGGAGGGGAAATGATCTAATTGCCTACCGTGTGTCAGACTGAATGTGAAAGCTACGCTCAATACACTCCGAGTCCTTTATCCTTACGGAACCTCACTTTGTGTCACGTTGCATAAGGCTTTTCTGTTTGTGTAGAATAACGTGGACAGTCCAATACTCCTACATATCCCCCATAATCCTCTACTCATTATGATGCGCCGTTCTTCTGCCACATGTACTTTTAAAAGATTAGTTCTGATCGCTTCTCAAGGCACATGTCTGTATTGTATTGTACTTGGCTTATAATGTGTTTTTCATTCTACTGCTTCCAGGCTGTGGTTTGATCACACTCTTACAACAACAGCGTGGTATGTCCACCACTATCGTCCTGGAAACATATTCCTATTGGCTACTCATCTTAGTCCCGCAGCTGTGGCCCTCGTCAAAGTTTTTGCACAGGAGGCGTCTCATTGGCTCGCAGCAGATCAGGTATCTTTATGTGACTGTCTGATTGGCCGTTGAAGTATCAGGTATCCCAGATGTCTAGGCCATCAGACGGGACATACCAGCTCTGTGGCAACTGGCCTCTGTTTGTTGTTACTATGACAACACTCTGATGGTCTCAGCCAGGCTGCTGAGGATGCAGCAATGGCAGAACTCCAGCAACACTTAGTAGTGTAAAGAAAGACGAAATGACCTCTGCAGACTTTTCCTCTGTTTTCCATGCACCTTGGAAGTAGCCAGAAATGCATACTCTGATGCAGCCATGGTATCCTCACGCACACAGAAATATAAATACTCACAGACTGCATAATCATTTGGGTTTTGAAGCTGATGTTGAGCTCATTGTTTCGCAAAGATTTATGGGCTGTCAGGGCACAACGGGATGTAATAAAAAATAATTTCAGGAACCATAAACCATGTCTTTAAATGTCTCTTATCTCTCCTTTCCAATTATATTGAAGTCCACACTCCTGTATTCCTTGGAATCGATTTCATCACAACCATTAGGGGGCGGCATTGATTGGATAAATGCACTTAAATTAAGAAAAACTCTCTTTCTCGCCTCTCTCTCTCTTGCAGGCACGCACGTACGCTCGCACGCGCGCACGCACACACGCACACACACGCACACACACACACACACACACACACACACACACACACACACACACACACACACACACACACACACAAAGGGGGCACAGACATGGACATGATCAATTATGTGTCAAGCATTTCTTCCTCAATGAATGAATGGCCCAATGACTATAGGCTACCGACCGTCTATTGTCTATTGACACTAGAGACTAAGTTCTCATGCAGTTCATTATCCCAAAAGGGGACGACTAGAAAGAGATCCAAAGAGACCATTAATCATCATTGCTTTCAAAGAAGAGTAAAGAAGGCAGCCAAATAGCAGATACTGTAATCCTATACAGTAAATTCTATAGATTCTTGCGGAGGAAAACTAAATATAGAGAGGTTTACACTGAAATGATAGCCTCGGTATGGAGAGAAAATATTAGAAATTCACTACCGCTCTCTGACATAATTACAATTCCCTCTGGCGAGATTTTGATAGGCCTGTTATAGGAGTGTTATGGCATAAATGTTTAATCCCTGATCCCCGGGGAAAAGCAGGTCCCGGTTTTAAAGGGGCCAAAGTTTTTGTTCTCCTGCTGACACTTTAACCCACAGCGTATCACGCCTACCAAAGCCTTCAGTATGACGAATAACTCCAAAGTCCATTTCAATTTGGGTTGATGGCCCGAGCTGAGGTGGTGGTGAGGGGGGTTGAGAAGTGGGGGTCAACCCAATAACAGACTCCCTCCTTCTCGTCCTTCTCACCCCCTCCTCCACGTCCCATAAATGCCTTCGCTTCCTCTGTCTCTCGGACAGAGCGCTCTGATTGGCTGCGGCTCGCTCAGTGGGCTGTTCCCTCCGCGCGGCTCTCCGGCTCGGGTTACAGTTGAGCTCGAGCTGCTGCACTTAGCGGAGTGCACAGTGTTTTACACGGTTAAAAAAAACAATACACCGGCATGGAATTGTTGCCGAGCGGATTTACAGCCACGGAGCTTGTCCGGTGAGCAGGTCTGCAATCCCTCGGCACTTTTTGTGTACGCAGACAACCCGGGAGACGTACAGTTTTTATTCACGCACCGGCCGCGCAGCATGTCCCAGTCGGACTAAAAGAGGCGACCCTGCTGGGAGCGCAACACGGGAACGCCGCTGAGAGCCGCGAGGAATATTTACAATAGAAACTCAATTCCTTTTGGAGAAGAATAGCAAAGGGCAGCAGGAGGCGGAGGAGTGAAAGACAACACTGGAATGAAGTGGACCTCGGGATTCCCAGCGTGCTGCGGAGTTGTGATTGATGGATGAATGTGGCCATCTGTAGGCTATATCCAGCGACAGGTACAGGGACATTCAGGGGAGCTTTGACAAAGACGCTTCCTCGGCAGCCGCATCGCCCCCAATTGTGTCCCTCTAAAAAAAAAACTGCACTGCACGTCAGATCTCTCCAAGAAGGTTGACTCTTTTTTTCTCAGCCACAGGTCAAGCAGGACACTGCTTCTTCCCTCCTAGATCCGACCAAGAACCGGCGGATAGTTCAGTCAAGGACATCAGATCTGGAGCAGGTTTTAACAAAAAGGTCTGACAGAAGGACATGTATCTGATATCGACCACACATGCTCCCGACTGATCGTAGCTCACCTCCCCGCAGATAACGCGCTCCGTCCGACGCTCCTGGTTATCGGCTCACTGTCTTTTCGCTGTACTCAGATCAGAATGGCGGGACTCGGGTGTTGGAAGTATTACCTCTGGATCTTTATTTTAATGTGCAGGTCGGCGCTACCTTCAGCCAAATCGATGGAGACTATCATTTGGAGCTCGCAGAATTCCAGGTAAGTCTCCTGTTTCATTTTGTCCAAACATGCCAAAGTGTCTGGGTGTGCGCGTAATGGAGGACTAACTGTGAAAAGTTGCAATTGTGTGAAAGCTGTTAAATGTTCTCTTGCAATTATGAAAAAACGAACACAATGCAATTTTTTTCCTGTAATTGTCATTCCTGCGCCGCTCGGTTTTCTGCTGATTTATTTCTCAGTGGGGGATTTCCCAACACCAAAGAAACGCACAAGGTGCAGGCTTATACAGTGTACAGTAGGCCTCACTTAAAACACAATGATACATGGTTAATTTTAGTAATTTATGGCAATATTACATGCTGGTGTTTATTAACAAACGGAGGGAAAAGTCTGCTTGCATACTTGAGTTCTGACTCTCAGTGTGGTGAGAGTGTGTCCACTTCTGCCCTGCAATTTTTCGTAATTTATATAATCAGCTAAGTGGATAATACTTGAATAATACAAAAAGTCAAGGAAAGAATGCCACGTGTGTCAAGGTGTAGTCCAGTTTTCTTGACCATGGGTTCCTTCTTGTGAGGCCCTCCAAAAGTTTTCAAATTCCCACAAAAATGTGTGATAATGGTTTCAGATATCAGAGGAAGAAATGCTTGAAAGGAATGTAATTGTCCTAAACTGTCTTGGCTTTGATCCAACCTAATTTCTCCACACTTAAAAAAAATCAAGGGCAAGTTTCTCAAAAGCAAAGCAGCTGAAGCCAGATTCATATTATTCCCATCAAAACAAGCAGAGTGAGCCCAGACTGCTGATAATAAAATACACTCTGGTAACAATTATCACCCACTTAGACTTGACTCCCACATTTGCATGATGTTGGAAAGCATACATAAGGGGAAAATAAACTTAAAAAAAGGAAGGGGAGAAATAAAACCTCCCCTGTTTTTCTGTATGAGGAGCCGGGGAGCTGACCTTCATTTGAGCTTGCTGCACCAAGGGGAAATGGAGAGTAGCTCGACCAGCTTATAACTAGAATTTACCCATTCAAGTGAATCCATGATGTATCCCCCAAATGTCAGATGTCATAGGAGCTAGTTGTGCAGTCAGTGGGTATGAATATTGCTGCCAGGTTCAGTGGAGTGTGTGTATGTGTGTGTGTGTGTGTGTGTGTGTGTGTGTGGCCTGATCCTAATGGCAAGACTACGGCCCATCAGCTTTTATTTGAGTATGGCTGCAGATGTAGTGGAACAATGAGCTTCACCAGAGAGAGATATGACACACACTTATTCCACATGGACCAAAACCCACATTTTGTGTCAGGCATGGCTGGAGGGATGAAAATAAATTGGGGAGACATTTATTGATTGATGATGTCACCTGCAGGGAATGGCTTAGAAGGTTACCACTCCGTTTTTTTTTGGAAGATCATTACTCCATCTGTTCCTCAAAAAAAAAAAAAAAAAAACCCACGCCAGGCCTAATATTTCATAAAGTTTGCAGTGGAACAATAATGCACTCTGCAAAGTGTTCCCTCAACCTAATTATCCTGCTGCTCTGCGCTTAGAAAACAAAAGACAATTATCTTGCTGTGTGCAGGCTTTCGCAATAACAAAAGACAAACCATTTTTTCTTCTGAAATGTATCTGTCAGCAGAGGCGTCTGATAGGCAATAAAAAAGGGAATAGTCATACAGCAATCAGCATCTGTCTTCACTGTTTGTTGTTTTAAACGCCACCCCTCTGTCTTGACCTATATTACTCCATAGTGATAACCCAGGGTGTATAGAAATGTACAGTACACTATCTCGTGACTTATCTAGATTTACGACGTCTTACTTCCTGTTCTCACTTTGGGGAGCTCTGCTGCCTCAGCTAATAAATTAATCTGGCCCTCTCCTGCACACTGTGCCACATACACACACCATATATAACAATACCAGTGCCTCCACACAGGCCATGAGTTATGAGACAAAGTATAGGAACCCAGCAGGTTTTGGGCCACGGTGTGTGTGTGTTTGTCTTTATATGTGAGTGCAGACTTATGTGCGGGTCCCTTGGAGCCTTCCTGCTGTTATGGATTTCCATGTGAGGATGCTATCACTCCCGTGCCTGCATTATCAATAACTGGGGTTTGCTTAATTGATTTCCTCCCAGCGTGCCAGAACAGGCAACATACATCATCACTGTAGCGCCATCTGCAAGGAAACGAAGAAGAAGAAGAAACATGCCTGAGTTTGAGTTTTGCTGCAGGATGTACCAGACCTTTTTGATATTTAATTTGAAGCCGGATGAGTAAAAATGGCAAGAGGGATTATGCAGGAAGGGGGTGAGGGTGGAGAAGCAGCCGAGCAGAAGAAGGCTGGATGTGTCAACGTCCTCGGCCCGTAAAAAAAAAAAGCGCCTAACATTTGATCAGAGCAAATCGGATTAGTTCTCATTTAGCTGAGTGGGATTACGCCCCGAAAATGTCACTTTGTTATGACTGATCACGTCCCATTGGTTTGGCTGAAGCTAGCAATGTACCAGCATACTACACACACACACACAGTAACGTTCACAGTGTGCTGAGGAATTCTGCAGTGATGCCAATTTAATGATAATCCAACAAGGTTGCTATGAGTGGTTCCTGCCCGTCCTCTAACCCTCCTTAGCTAATATTTACCTCATGACCTGTAGCTACCACCGCCTGTTTGCAAGCAGCTCAATAGATAAACAAAATGATGATGGGAGACTGGCGTAAAAAAAACATACACACTTTGCCCACATCTGAAAAGATACCGAGAGGAAACAGCCACGGGCCGGCCAGGAGTCTGCTGCACTGGTTTTGAACTCCTCACTTTGCGGCGAGGCTTTTTGAAACCGTTTTTTTCATTTTAGCCCGTGTTGAGTTTGAAGCCCACAAAATAGCAAAACAGGGAAAGTGAGGATAAAAGTCAGCTAAAGCCTCTGTTGCTGCAGGCCTTTACTTACTCGTCTTATTTTGCTGTCCGCTGACCCCAGCTCGCAGTTTAACAGTCGGCTGCTTTCGGTTTATAATGTGCTCGCACGGTTTAAAGGCTCAGGGAGTTTGACGATGATTAAACTGGATTTGATTACCACCGTGATATTAAGAAAACATATTTATTTTACCCCCAAATGAGAACATTTTCACAACACGGAGAACAACTTTGAAAAACACGAGGTGGCAAGATGTTAAATCAATTTCTCGAAAACTATTTTATTTGCCTGCTGTTAGTAGAATAGGTACACAGAAGGCCTCATTAAAGTTTAGTTTTCGTAATTAGCTGTTTCCGATAAGATAATTGGGAGGGGGGAAAAAAGTAGTTTTTCCTGTGAGGTAATTAGGAAAAAAACAGGTCTGCCACATCTTTGTTTTTAGAACAAGATGTTATCAAAGCACATTTTTTAAGGGCTCATTCTCGTACACGGGGAAACCATTGACTCCCTCAACGTGGTGTTTGGGAAATGCTCCACTGAGCTGACATTGAAATATAATGAGGATTTCAGCAGGAGTTGCTAAAACAACAAATTCAAACTGCCACAACCTGTCGAACAGGAGTGGGATGAAACTTAGGGACTAGAGCCGAAACAGGATTTTGGTTCTTCAGTATGGGTCACTGCCGAGAGGGTCAGAGGCCTGTTTTTGTTTCTTCCCCGCATGCCCCCTTTACCCCTTGCGATACACCTTCTCTCTCCCTGCTTCCCAGAGTCGCCCCCCTCTCTCCCCCTTTAGACTCTGATCGTGTTTCCCTCTGATAAAGATCTCATTACACACAGAGAGGACTCAGAGCCTGAGCCCCACTCAGAGAGAAAGAGAGAGGGCTGACCAATGAGAAATACTTCTGGAAAGCAACTGGCCCGTGGTGCAGTGAAGGCTCCCTGTGTCTCACTCTGAGGACAGCTGCGTTTGCTTTTACGTGCATACACTTCTGTGTCCACATGTCTGTTGTTTCAGCGGTGTGGAACCACGGATTCTTCGTTTGGTTATCTTTTCGGGAGGCACCTGGGTACAGAAAAGGGGTTTCTGCTATTTAGGTTATTTCAGGAAAACAATTTAAAAAACTGTTTTTCCATCATGGTTTCACTCCACATGGACTCACTTTATCCACTGGTGGTTTGGCTTCCACATCATCGAAAACTGATCATTCAGCTTTTTTTTTTATAGTGTTATCGATGCGTTTATTTCTTTATATTCGACCAGGCGTGCACATGAAACCTGGTTTTGTTCCCCGGCTTTGTAAGCCTTTGTAACTCATTTTTAGGTTTTTTTTTTTAGAGATCCCAACTGGTGCTCATGAGTCCCAGTTGGTTTTCTCTCAAGACATACTATCGGGACTGATTCACAACTGTAACAACAGCTGATGCAATGAGTCAGTTGGAGAAAGAGCAGACAAGATGAGTCGGTTTACGAGTTATTCGATCAAAAACAATCAGCTCTGACAGTCAATCAGTGGGAGGCGGTATCGATAAAATGTTTTTATTACTGCATCACATAATCAATATACTGTGATTTATTATTATGTCTAGAAACTCAGTTGTACAGCGAAACCACTTATGCTAATCCAACCACACACGATGGTTTTTCAGGTTTATCCAGGGGATTAAAAAACCTGACAGACCAAGATATACCTCATCACCTTGGTGCAACAACACTGTTTATACAACTACAGCCAGAAAGTGTAATACAAAGAGAGAAACATATATTCACTGCATACCACTTACATAATGACAGAATTCTCCACTTTTCTATTTGATATGCTTTTAAATGAAAATGTGGTTGTCACCATGAGATTGTCATGTGATTGTCTAGACCAGGGGACTCCAACACGTCGACCGCGAGCTACCAGTAGCTCGCAAGCCCTCAATAAGTAGCTCGCCAAGCAAATCCAAAATGTAAAAAATACACACAAAAAAATAGGAAATGTAATTAAAATAATCTACAATATACATAAACGAAACCTCAATCATAGTGAACTCTATCTACTTACTACAACTCTATATCTATCTAACACCCCTCCTCCCCCAAAATGAATATCGACCAATCAC